ACAGTGCTGTGGAATTGAACCCAGGGCCCCATGCATGTTCTGCCAACTGAGCTACACCCTCTTCCCCCAATTCAATTTGTGTTAAAGTGTCATGCTAAGATTTTTCTTTTTCTTCTTTTTTCCAGGCTGACACCAACAAGGATCGGATTGACATTGCCAATACAAGAGCAAAGAAACTCATTGACAGCTAAAGCCACTGCTGTACTTCTTTACCATTTGCTCAGTTCTCTAGCTCCTAAGTCATTACCTGTTCAGAGTTTGAAAGTGTGTGAAAGAAGGGCCAGAGGAGGAATGCCTCCTTGCTTCTTATTTTCTATCCTTTGGGGTAGGTTCCTGCTCAGACTTCTTTACAGCCTCTCTCTCAGTTCACACTCTTACTTAGGCTGCTTTCCGTACATCACGCATAGTTTGTCATCCTCTTCACTTAGCTTCTTTTGCATTCAAGATTTGGAAGCATTGCCAAAGAGCCATGAAGAAGGCTCTAGTAGTTTTTGTTGGTTGGTTGGTTGGTTTGGTTTTGGTTTTGTGGTAAAGAGCAGAGGAAGGATCAACAAGTGAAGTTGTTAACTCATTAAAGAAACTATAGGTCAACAAAACAAAACAAAACAGGCTAATGCCTGAGGTGGGAGCTTTTACTCATGCATTTTGTTTTACATCACTATTTTGCAGCTTCTGCTCCAAAGGAAAATACAGTGGGTTTTCGTTAAGTGAACCTCACTTCTGAATTCATAGTGATTTGTGTATGTACATAGGTTTTGGGATCTCGTTTCATATTGCACATGCAGGAACACTGTATAAATGAGTGCCTTTTATCCTCGTATTATGAGTCATATCATATCATGGTCTCATTGTAGGCCTATTTACCTTGTGAAGTTGTCATTAGTCTTTTAAAAATGTACATATATATGTGAAATATGAGACTTCCTCACTAAAGCAGGGCTTCAAAATTTTGGAGAAAGTTTAAGAGTGTATCATGTGAATTCAGATTTACCTCAAATACTAAGAATTATGTTCAGATATGAAAAAGAAAACTTGTTTTGATCTCAGGTAGAAAAATAGATTGTTTTGAGTTTTGTAGTTTTAGACATTTAAAAAGTTATGATTTGTTACTAAAGTTGTTTTGGAAAATTATGCCTTTGAATTAATTATTGATGACTGCACTGCCACTCTCTGCCATGCATGCAAGTCAAGTTTATGTAGTTCTGAAGTTCCAGGAAAGCTGGGTAGGTATTTGTCACCTTTGTTTAAAATTAGCATCTGTGCACTTCAGAGCTACCAAAGTAGATTGGTTTGACCAATGACCATTGCTTGATTCTTACAATTAAATTTTGTAACTAATGGTATTGTTCTTTCAAATAGGTAACGTGTTTCTGACTTATTTGTGGGGGCAATCATTTTATCAGCTTTTGTTAACAAATTGAATAAAGCAAATGTCCATAGTCAAGAACTCCAATAGAAAGTTGCAATTAGCTCTTTTCCAATTTTTATTCAAAATGTTTACAGGAGTTTCTGTGATTTGTCATGAGTCTGTTTTAGTCATTACTTGTCATCTTAGTCATTGAACTTAAATACACTGAGTATTTTTCATTCACTAAAGACGACACCGCTAGCACAGAAACATTCAAAGGGTGAAGAGGATAGTATTTAAATTAAACAAAAAAGAATGTTCCATGTCAGAATGGATAGTTTGTCAGGTGAAGGTTTTGAATGTATGAATTATGACTAAATATAAGACACTAGAATGTGCTGTGCCTAAATGTGCTTTTCTTTTTGTTTTTTGTTTGTTTGTTTTGTGTTTTTCAAGACAGGGTTTCTCTGTGTAGCTTTGGAGCCTATCCTGGCACTCGCTCTGGAGACCAGGCTGGCCTCCAGCTCACAGGGATCCACCTGCCTCTGCCTCCTGAGTGTTGGGATTAAAGACATGTGCCACCAACGCCCAGCTCTTTTTGGTTTTTTGAGACAGGGTTTCTCTGTGCCACCAATGCCTGGCTAGTAGTGCTTTTCTTAAAAGCATTTAAAAACTTTACACATTGCTGGGCGTTGGTGGCACAAGCCTTTAATCCCAGCACTCGGGAGGCAGAGGCAGGTGGATCTCTGTGAGTTCGAGGCCAGCCTGGTCTCCAGAGCTAGTTCCAGGACAACCTTCAAAGCAATACAGAAGATATCCAGTCTCAAAAAAACAAAAAACAAAACGGATAAACAAAAACCCCCAAAACTTTACACATTGATCTGGCTAAAGGAACGGTGTAGTTGGTTAGAGCATGCATCAAAGTACCCAGTTGTGAGTTTCTCCTTGCTCTTATTGGGTGGTGTGTGTATGTGTGTGTGCCTATTTCTGTGTGCTGGTTTTCTTACCTGTAAATGGGAATTCATTAATCCTACTTGATAAACTAATTCACAGAACGGTAATGCCTAGAAATCTCTAGAGTAGTCATCGCTCAGGCCACACTGGCAATCCTAACATTGGGGAACCTGAGACATAATCAACCTACACAATGAATTGGGAGCCAGCTTAAGCTACATTTAGTTAAAAACATGCCCCATCTCCCAGACAAACAAAAACTGTCAGATGTAAATGTGATAAATGATAGGTATTTCCTCTAGAGTGGAGGGAGTTCTTGGTCAAAGATCTGTGAATTTGGTGGAAGACAACATGGTCCCTTTCTCCAGAGAAAAAGGCACAAAGACAGGTGGCAAGTACCTTTGCCTGCTGCTATCCTTTCCAGTATTGAGAGATGATAGCAAGTAGTTAACACGAACTGGAGTCATCTGTCATCTGGGTTCACTTGTCTGTGACTACAGTTAAAAAATAGTATCCTGCACTAATCTTTTTTTCCACTCTCTCTCTCTCTCTCTCTCTCTCTCTCTCTCTCTCTCTGCCTTTTGCCTTTTGCCTTTTGCTTTTTTTGAGACAGGGTTGCTCTGTGTAGCTTTGGAGCCTCCCTGGAACTCTATCTGTAGACCAGGCTGGCCTCAAACTCACAGAGATCCACCTGCCATTGCCTCCTGAGTGCTAGAATTAATCACCACCACTGCTCTGCCTAAAATTAACTTTTTAGGGCTGGGGTTATTAGAATCCCTCAGTTTATATGGTGTTTGCCTAGTATTCAAAAATACCTAGGTTCAATACTATATCAGCACGTGCGCCAGGTGTGGTGGCATGCTCCTCCAATCTCAGTACTGTTAGGAGGATCTCCAGGAGTTCAAGGTCATCCCAGCTATACAGTGAGTTATAGGGCAACCTGGGATATGTGAAAACGTACTCAAAACCACAAAAGAGCCAATGATATGGCTCAGCAGGGAAAAAACACTTGCTGCCAAGCCTGACCCACGTTTGATCTCCAGGACCTACATGGTGGAAGAAGAAAGCCAACTCATAAAAGTTGTCCTCTGACTTCCACATGTGGTGCTGTGGTATATGCAAGCCTGTGTACATGTACACAGGAATGCAGTAAAAATTAAAAATAAAAGTTATTTGATGGTTTCCTGAATAATCTCATTAAAATTCCTACTTATCTTGATTTCAGCCCTTATAGGTAAGATAAATGGCTTGTTTCATTGAGTTCCTGTGTCACTTATGTATCTTCTCACTATAATACATACTTGAGAAGTGAGAAATATTTCTCACTTCTACATTTACAGATGAGAGTCAGTTGTCCAGAAAGCTATTAAGTAACAAACTCTGGATCCAGACCTTAATTCCTGAGGACAGAGCCCATGATCTTACTCCATCCATATATTGATTCCAAACCAAATTAAAACTTAAGGTTTACTGGGTAGGTTTGTTTTGTTTTTAAAGATTTTTGTGTATGAAAGGTAGGTCTGAATATATGTACGTGCAGCGCGTGTATGTTTAGTGCCCACAGAAACCAGAAGAGTGTGTTGGATCCCCTGGAACTGGAGTTACAGATGGTTATGAACCACCATGTAGGTATAGTAACTAAACTTGGGTCCTTTGCAAGAACAAGTGCTTTTAATCACTGAGCTATCTCTCCAGTCCCTTCCTTTATATAGTTTTTACCCTCAAGTACTTCAGTCTAGCAAGAGAGATAAATATAGGATGTGGAAAGCATTCTGTCAGCAGATGGGGGAGCAGTTAATTCGGATTAGAAGGAGCTTAGACACAGGACTAGGACCAAGAAGTGAGAGAGGGCATTTCTTGATTGAATAACACTAAAGCATTCTGGAGCAGTGTAATCTGGCATGGTTGGACATGCATGAAACTGAAGAAAGGGTGGTACTTAATGATTTTTACAGGTGTGGGGAACACAAAAGAATATATCTAAGTTATTAAATTTATTAAAGTTCATATTTGTTAGATGAAAGGTACTGGTAAATGCCAAGAGAAGTCAGCTGCTCAGTGATCAGTAAGAACAATGTATCTTAAACTAATAAAAATCAACTAGAGAATTGGCTTAGTGGTTAAGAATACTTGTGTCTCTTCTAGAGGATCTGGGTTCTGTTCCCAGCACTCACATGGCAGCTCAAAATTATCTGTAGCTCCAATTCCAGGTGATCCAATTCACAGAAAAATAAATCTGAGGGAAAAAACCAAAACCTTCATGATGGATACTGATGAGCTGGTGCCACCTATCCCCAAATAGAGAAAACAACATGGGAGGAAAGAACACCTGGACCAAATTTAAGGTCAGAAAGGCTGCTTCATGTGAGCTCTTGTGATTTTCCAACTTTAAGCTAGTTTTAACGATTATTGTGAATTACCAGTGCATCCTTAGCCAAGAGAAGATTTCAGAAAACAGTCGTAATCGCTTTGCAATGTTCTTAGCAGTGGCAATCTGAAATCTCTCTGTGTATCTGTGTTCCAGCATTTTTTTAAGTATGATTCCCAGTTCCTCAGAAGTCTGAGTGACATCAGTGGATTTCACTGCTCACGAAATCAAACAAGAGGATGAAACATATATCCAGTTTACTTTCAAAGAACAAATGACACTTAACAGATTACAGGTTCTTTAAATGATTAATACTGCTTCCAGACAAAGTTCACTAAAAATATTTTATTTAGTATATCCTCTCATTCAGAGAATGACCATGATAAACATAAGTTATTTTAAAATATTATAGCAATGGTTTTCTTGAAGGTAATTTGTTTAGTAGTCATAAATACAAAAGGGGGAGAAATTACCAGAAATAACACATGATTTTTAATAAATCTTCAGGAAAATCTTGATTATTAAAATTCATTTAAAATCTTACAAGTAGGCTGAGTATGGCGCATGCCTATAATCCCAGTACTTGAGGGGGTAGAGGTGGGGAAATTTTTAAGTCTGAGGCTAGCCTGGGCTACATAGCAAAAAACTTGTCTAAAAATTTTTTTTTTACAATTTTTGCATATACTTTTAGCTCTTCAGAGCCTTCTACCAATAAGGCACCTGCAATAGTAAAAAAAAAAATTGCTACTGCAGCCTTGAGGAACATTTCTTGGTGGCTGTTGTGTTGGTGCTCCTCTTGACAAAGCTTGCTTTAAGATAGCTACATATTTATGTACATCCCAAGTTCCAAGTGCACTGCTTTTGAATTGGCAGATGGAACAAAAGCACATGTTCTTAACCATCGAAGTTCCCCACAAATTAGAATTTCATAAAAATATGAAGTGTTAACACAGAAGTGATGTGGTAACTGATTTTATGAAAGCTGACACACTGCAGCTCAACAAAATCTCTAGCTGTGCTGTGGAGTCATTCTGTTACCAAGCAGCATTCCCTCACTGCACGAATAGCAACTCCCTACTGGTTTTCTTATAGCCCAACTAATGATGGTTTTAAAGATCAACATTGGCCATCACCCTATCCATGGTTCAAAATGAAGGGCTCTTCCTGTCTCCGAAATCCTTTTCCTTTAGCTTATCTGAGATAGTCCTTTAAAGGAAAAAAGCCATTAAATGAAACATAATCTGGAGCATCTCCAACACCAGGAGCCTCTAACGTGGCCAGATTCCAACAGGGGTTCCAAGTCAGTGTCCTTTAAGTTTCCCATGGTCCTGGAGAATATCATGCAAACTTCTTCTTGGTGGCTGTGAACCTCTCCATGTACTAAAAACATGAAAGAAAAATATGGTTATTTGATATGGGTTATTTGATTGGGTTTTTGCATTTGTTTCTTTTTAATTTGACGTGGTTCATTTCATACAAAACTTTTATTTTTCTCCTTTTTTGAGACATGTCACTATGTAGCCCTTGATAGCTTTAAACTCCCAGAGATAGCCTGCTTCTGCCTCCCAAGTGCTAGGATTAAAGCCATGCTATCACACCCAGCAAAGTCCATTTAACTATTAAAGCACATTGATTTTTTTTTCCCCTGTATTTTACTAGGAAGCACAAAAAGATGCTTTATGGGGGGGCTGGAGAGATGGCTCAGAGGTTAAGAGCACCTGCTGCTCTTCCAGAGGTCCTGAGTTCAATTCCCAGCAACCACATGGTGGCTCACAACCATCCGTTATGAGATCTGGTGCCCTCTTCTGGTGTGCGGATATACATATACAAAAAAAATAAATATTTTTTATTTATTATGTATACAACATTCTGCTTCCATGTATATCCGCACACCAGAAGAGGGCACCAGATCTCATAACGGATGGTTGTGAGCCACCATGTGGTTGCTGGGAATTGAACTCAGGACCTCTGGAAGAGCAGCCGATGCTCTTAACCTGAGCCATCTCTCCAGCCCCAATAAATAGAATCTTTAAAAAAAAAAAAAGGATGCTTTACAATAAGCAAAATGTGGAGAAAGTTATCTCGACATAATACAGACTAACCAAGTCTTAGAACTACCTCCAAAATAGGAACCTGGTGATGCTAACTGTAGACATCACCTAGGTTACCTCAGCATCTTATGTATCGCATACACTAGAAATGTAGAATGTGCTAATACACACCTTATCATAACCCTCTAGCTCTCTAAGTTTCTTTATCTCAAAGAGATTGCCTTCCACAGCAAGCAGGCAGATTTGGGAGTCATTGAGGATGCTCTGTGGAAGCATGCTGAGCTCAAGGCAGTTCTCCTCCAGGCGGAGGACTTTCAGACGAGGGCAGCAGGATATCTTCACTGAGATCTGAGATATCTGTTGAACAACAGAACAGAATGAAGAACATGATGGCTACTTTTTACTACACTGAGACAAATCTTGACTGTGTCCTAGTTTTTCTTTTACCGCCTCCATTTCTCACTACCTACTCATTACAGAATCCTCTGTTAACATACCTTCTGTTACTCCTCCACTTTCAAATCAAATGATTTGAAGGTTACCAGTAGCTTTTCAGAAATAAAAACTAATAATAAAAGTACTGTACATTTATAGAAAATATGAGAATCGTGTAAGTTTAAGGAAAAAGTTTACCACTAACCTTACTCAGAATTAGCCACACACACACTGCTTTATTGCTGAAGTCAAGGTTCCTTGCTTCCCATGTACTGTTGTATCTGACTATCCATCCTTTTCTTGAGATTCCTCTTGTGCATGACACTAGACTTTTCCTCTTGAATTTCTCCTGATTTTTTTTGACATCTTTTTATTTCTTAATTATTTTCAAGCAGAAATCCCTAATGTTTCATATTTCAGTCTTAACCTTCTAGGAAACAATCATTCTTAAAGCCATTTCACATATGATCTCAAAATCTACACTATCAACAGTCCTCCTATCTACCAATCCCTAGTACAGTTTTGTATGTACAATTCTCACTAAAACATTTGGATGATTCAAGTGATGAATTCAGCATTGTGGAGGCCCTCAGGTCAATAGTGAGCACTTTTGATCCATGCATTTCTTTGGACCATTAAATGCTCCAAGTTGTTTTCCTTCCCATGCTGCAGGATGAACCACAGTCTCATGCATGGCACACAATTACTGTACCACTAACTGTTCTCCAGCCCCAGGTCACTGAATTCGAATGACTACTTGCTATTTCCAACCATCACCTGGGAACTTAATGCAAATGCAGATTCTTAGACCTTTCACTTAAATCAAAACGCTATGGTATCCTTAAGTTCCCCAGGTTATTCAAGTGCGGTCTGAGAAACCTTCCAGCTACATGGTCTAGCCATAGGGAATGTAGAATTAAGTATCAACTAATACTTGAAGCTTAATTCCCCCCCCCCCCCCGAAAATGTCAGGGAAAAGATGAAGCCAACCTCAAAAGCTGAATACCATACTGTTAACTATGGTCTAGCACAATAATAACTGTATGTAGCAGCTAATATCTGAGCTGTATATGTGTAGAAGCATAGATGCTACAATAACTAAGAGCTACCTCATCTCAAATGTTCCATCGCTCTGCCTCGTGTCTAGAGCAGAATGCTTTGCCAGACAAATGTTAACCAAGATTCAAAACCAGGGAAAACATTTCAGGTATAAAGTTGTCCAATGATAAGCTAGCTCCAGAAAAACAACCACTTAGTGATTTTTCGACAAATGGGTACATATTTAACACAGAAAAAAAAAAAAAAAAAAGATGCCGGACTCTCAGATTCTATGGGTTTAGGCTTCATTCCTACACTATACCATCCCGCCGTGGCTGCTCACTAAATGATTATGAGTGTGAGAAGGAACCGAAGATTTGCAAAACTTCCATTAGTTTTCTTTTTGTAATTATCCTAGTACTCTGTTCTGTCTTCTTCAAAACACCTTGAACACTATTTACAGTCACTGTCAACCCACTCTGTGACATTGGGCATTGAAATAAGTTCAGCTCATGGAATGTATCTTTTAGCCTCTGATATTCAACTTCATGATTAGCATTTAAGGAACAGGAAAGTATTAGGAGACCATAAACCCAAACATACACTGGGGAGGGGGGCCACACACACACACACACACACACACACACACACACACACACACACAAATAGCAACCTGGTTCTGGTTGAGATTGAGTTCGATGGCCTGCAGCTCCCCTACTGTGTCAAGTATACTCCGAATCTGGTTTTTAGAGAGATCTACAACATCCAGATGTCGCAGGCTACAAAGTTGGGGTGGTAGTGCTCCCAGCTGGTTCCCAGAGAGGCTCAGGGTCTTCAGGGCAGAAAGCTGCCCAAAGGTAGATGGTAGCTCTCTCAGGAGATTGTTGTTTAGACTTAGAGTCTCTAGTTTTTTCAGATTACATAATTCATCTGGTAGAACAGCTGGTGAAGAGAATTTTTTTAAAAGAATATCTGAATCTGATAGAACTAATGAAGTTTATAAAAAGACAGTATGGCAGCCTGCTTTATCTTGTTTTTTGTTTCTATTTTTGAGACAGGGTCTCACTTAAGTTGTCTACGGAGGCCTTGAAATTATGACCCTTCTGCCTCAGCCTCTTGAGTAGCTGGGACTACAGCCCTAAGTCAACAGGCCCGGCTTTTACATAGAATTCTCACATGGCATATTTAGGTATCTCATTTTACCAACAGTGTTTGGGAGATTAAGGAGCCACCAAAATGCAGAAAAGTATGTGTATAATAGTTTCGTTTTGTAAAAGGGCCCAAGTAAATTCTAACAACAATCTAGGGAGGTTTAAAAGACCCTCCCATTCCATCCTGCCCTCAAATTAGAGAACTCTGTTTACATTGCATCCCATAAGTCTCCCAAGTCCAAATTAACCTAATAATAATGATTCTACTATCCAAGGAGGCATGCAGATTTACTGCAGGAGGCAGAAAGCTTCAATGCTCTAACATTCTGCATGCCCTTAACTGATTTCATAACAAAACCAGCTTGAAGGAAAAGCACCCTTCATAACTGCTGATCATTAGCAAAAGCTAGCCGGGCACAAAAGCCATACTCAGTTTGTTGTTGTTGAGGGAGAGGCTCTTCAGCAGAGTGAACTTTCCTATTAGCTGAGGCGGTAGGCTGTCGATTTTGTTGTTGGACAAATCGATGGTCCTAAGGTTGCTTGTCAGCTTCTGCAACTCTGAAGGGAACTGAAGAAAGGAGTTCACAGCGTGGAAAATCCCGCACCAATCAACTTCGCCACCCCGACATCCCTCTCCCTTTTAGTTTCTTGGCGGAGCCCCCATCTCGTCTCACCTCTGTCAGACCACGGTCTTTAAGCTGAAAGACTCCAGTTTTCTGCGCCGTTTCCACATGAGCGCGGAGGGCACTGTTTCCCATCCTAGCGCTGCGGCTCAGTTCCCTGCGGGAAAGAAGCGTAGCTGTCACCGCCCAGTCTAGACGTACAGCCATCAGGTAAACCTCCCGTGTGGGTCCCAGGTCCCAGGTCCCAGTTGTCACCTTCTGCCTATCCCTACTTCCTAGGGAGCAGCCCAAGAGTGTGGCAAGGAGAAAGCAAGCGAATAAACAGCGCTGCCACAAGGTCCTGCTGCTTTGGCAGCCGAGCTAGGACCAGGGAGCCTCCGGTAGCCGCTGCCGGGTCAGGGAGCTCGAGACTCGCCTCCTACCGCTCAGCGCAGAGAAGGCTCCGCCAGGGAACACCGGGGACCCGCGCTCGCCTGAGACGCTCTCCCAGGGCTTCCGCCCGGGCGGGAACGCCCTGTGACATCATCAAGCCGCGCGACCGTTCCTTGTGTGCCTCTCACTCGCGCCAGTTCCAGAGGTGTGTGGGAGCCATGGCTGCCCCGAACCCGTGGGACCCGGCGTCCGCGCCGAGTGCAGCTGGGCTACTGCTGAACCACTGGGTGGCTTCGGGGATAGTCACTGAGGTATGTTGGGGCGGTGATGGCGTCATCAAGGGGGCGACAGAATTCCGCTGTGAGGTGGTGGTCGTGGCTGCGCGGGTGGGAGTGAGTCCGCTGAGGGCTGTGTTCAATGCCCGGCAGCGCCCCTTGGAGGCTGCGGCCTCGATCCCTCCCCCGTGGGTTCCCTAAACGGGAGGGACGGAGTAGATGGCGTTCCCAGTACTCTTGTGTTTTGACGCCTGCAGGTTATCCCAGGCTAGTTGTCGGAGGTGGACCGCGCTCTGCCCTTTTTTCTTCCACTGACACTACTTCCACTAGACCAGCGATGCTCAACCTTCCTAATGCTGCGACCCTTTAACACAGTTCTTCATGTTGTGGTGACCCCCCCAACCATAAAGTTATTTTCGTTGCTACTTCATAACTGTAATATTATTTTGTGAATCGTAACGTAAATATCTGTGCATTCCGATGGTCTTAGCAGACCCCTCTGAAGGGTCGTTCAACCCCCAAACAAGCAACAGGTTGAGAGCCGCTGCTCTAAGACTGTAGATTGGGAAGCAGTGAGAAAGAAATACTGGCCGGTACTTACAACAAGCACTTCCAAAAACGCCTGTTTATGGGAATTATTGAATCATATTTGGGGCAGGAAGCCCTGAGAACAAAAGAACTACAGTGGAGACTTTGTGGGAGCATCTGGGTTTTTTTGAGTTGGGTGTGTGTGTGTGTGTGTGTGTGTGTGTGTGTGTGTGTGTGTGTGTGTGTGTGTGTGCTGTTGGAGTGTGAATGGGGGAAGCGTTTGATTTTGAGATGAAAATAAAGATTAGCCCAAGAAGTGGTTGTTTTAGACATTTACATACAAGGAAGAAGACAGAAAAGGGAGAAATCGAATATGTGAAGGAAAATGACAGGAATAGGGAGAGACCAAGGACATTAAGATTGAAGGGAAGGAAACTGATATCAAAAAGGAAGTTGAAGCCGGGAGTGGTGGCTCTGGCCCTTTTTTATCCTAGTGCTCAGAGGCAGAGACAGGCGGATCTCTGTGAGTTCCAGGCCAGCCTGATCTACAAAGTGAGTACCAGGACACAGAGAGAAACTCTGTCTCAAGCTCAACCCCCCCCAAAAGAAATCCCACAAAAACAAGAAGTTGAGGAAAGTTAGTAATTCATCTGTAGAAATTAGTAATGCAGACTTGATGGAAGTTTTTTTTTTTTTTTTTTTTTTTTTTGGTTTTTGGAGACAGGGTTTCTCTGTGTAGCTTTGGAGCCTATCCTGGCACACTCACTCTCTCTGGAAACCAGGCTGGCCTTGAATTCACAGAGATCCACTTGCCTCTGCCTCCCGAGTGCTGGGATTAAAGGCGTGCTGGCTGGAAGATTTTTTTTTAATTCATGGAAGAGTCATTAATTAGAGGCTTCTAATATCCTAAAGTGTTTATTTAAAAAACAGAGACAACAAGGAAAAAAAGAAACAGCCAGATGTGTCAGTCCTAGACTTGTTAAGCTCTTGGGAGCTGTGGAAGCAGGAAGATTGCTCAGAGTTCAAGGCTAGCCTGGGGTACAGAGTGAGGAGACCTTGTCTTAAAAAAGAAACACCTAACACGACCAAGAAATTCAGTATCACTCAGCAAATTGGCAGAATTAGATCTCCTTTTTGGCCTACCATCTAATAAAATGAATTCTGAGCTGGGTGTTGGTGGTGCACACCTTTAATCCCAGCACTTGGGAGGCAGAGGCAGGCAGATCTCTGTAAGTTCGAGGCCAGCCTGGTCTACAGAGTGAGTTCCAGGACAGCCTCCAAAACCATACAGAGAAACCCTGTCTCAAAACAAAACAACAACAAAAAATTGTGAACAGCCAGGCTTAGTGGTGAGCACCTAAAATCCAAGGGCTAGTGAGTTACAGACCATCTGGGGCTACATAGCAAGATAGTGATAAAGTAATAAGGTTGAATTGTGATAAAATTGTGTTGTGAAAGAGTTTGAACTTTCTTTTTCTCTTCTGCAGTTTCCATGTACACTCATCTGAGAGCCTCAGCTTTTAGCTTCTTTGCTACATTTTCTTTCTTTGGCTGCCCCTTAGCTAGAATTAAACATGAGGAAAAGATTACAGATTACAAATCTCTATATATAAATGTAAAGTATATGGTACTTACTGGGATTGAACCAAGGGCCTCATACATGCCAAACACCTTTTATTCTATCACTGAATTACACCCCAGCTCCAGTGTTGTTCTTTGAGACTGTGTCTGGCTATATACCCTAGGTTGACCACAAACTGGCGATCTTCGTGTTTCAGCCTCCTGCACCTGGAAGTTTTTATGTGTATCACCTGGTCCTTCGACCACGTATAAAATAACACACTGAGTCTTAATATTAATTATAATTGTTTTGCCAATGGCTCAGGCATATTACTAAGTAGCTCTCACATTTAAATTAACCTATTTCAATTAATCTGTGTATTGCCACAAGGATGTGGCTTACCAGGTTGGGCATCTTTCTCCTTTGGCAGCTACATGGCGTCTTCCTTACTCAGCCTTCTTTCTCTCTGTGTCTCTGTTTGGATTTTCTGCCTAGCTATATTCTGCCCTGCCTAGGCCAAAACAGCTTTATTCATCAGCTAATAAAAGCAACACATATTTGAAGCATACAGAAAGAACATCTCGCATTATCTCCCCTTTACTGTCTAATTACAAAGGAAGGTTATTGAAGAGCCAAAACTCCAGTTCAACCCTTCCCCCAGGTGTAGCGTCAAAACCAAACACAAAGGAACTCCAAAGGCCCCCAGCCTCCTAGATACTTGAATCCTGGGGACTGTTTGACCGCAAAAGAAATTCCCCTGTAGTCTGCAGGAAATACAATTCTGAAAAATATTGGTACAGTAGGTCACCTGCAAGTCATAGCAGCTAAAGAATGTTCCATCCCAGCACCAACCTATAAGGTATTACACACCAAAAACATGACGTTCAAAATTTTCTTGATTGTTCCCCAAATGTCAACCAATCAGAAACCAACCTGTACCTACTGATGTAATCCTGTAACTTTTGTCTTTAAAACCTAGCAGTAGACAGGGAACTTCACCCACTCTGGAGGCTGCTGCCTCAGCTTGCTAGACGGGTCCCTCCCACGTTGTAGGATAAACAATTTAATAGACCTCGTGAAATTGAATTGGTGGTCTGTCTCCCTGATATCTTTGGGGATTCTTATGACTCGGGCACAACAGTTATAACTTTAACATAGTAAAATTGCATATAACAAAACAGGTAATAGCAAGAATTACAGTTACAATATTTAGTCTGTTTGTATTTGAAAAAATTAAAGAAAATACTCTATCATCTATGTTTGTTAGTCTAAAATTTTATATCTAATTTGTTTTTAGCATAATTAAGGAAAACTATAATTATAGCTATCTATCTTCAACTCCATCAAAGATCCCCCAGAAAGATATAATGTTATCTAAGTAAACTGGAAGTGCATTGTAATCAACTTCCAAAACTCTAGAAATGACAAAGATATCTGGCTGCCTGGACAGTCACCCAAAGTTCTTCTGGAACATTGAAGCATCCATCATCAGCCTATAGACCTAGAAGTATCTGGCAGATTTCTTAGTGAAGCAGGAAATCTGAAGGGCTGTCCCACCTATATTGGCAGTTTGTTGGCCATTTTCTTCTGTGTCCTGTAGAATGTCTGGCAGACTCTTTTATGAAGCAGGAATCCTGAAGGACTGTCCCATCTTGTTTTGGCAAGTTCAGCAGTCACTTTCCTGTGGGTTCTGCATGTCCAGTTTATACAGTATATAGTCAAACAGTCCAGGCATGAGCAGTTTCTTGCTCAAATGGCTAGTTTTGTCACACTGAAAGCAAACTCTTTAAGGAGCTTTGAAGACCATCTTCTTGAAGTAACTGATGATATCAGGAGCAGACATGTCTCACTGTTGAGAAAAGTCTAAGTTGTTAAAACAATTAAAATGCCATATTCTATAGGTCTTTGGAGCATTTGAAGATTACCTACCCATCTGAAATTTATCTCTGTATATATAGAAAACCTAACATATCTATAAGTTTGACTATTACAGATCACTATTAATTTGTATTTCTTAACTATACATTACATTTTTAAATGGGCTGTATAAAATAATATCTTAAAAAAAAGAGTATATGTAGTATAACGTATACATATAGTATAACAAAAATGTGCATATAGTGTAACTGACCTTAAATTTGTGTCAATAAACCAAAATCCATACCAATGTAAAGTATCTTGAGATTAACAGTTTTTTGGATTAAAGTAAATCCAATAATCTGTCCCTTTTTATTATCATAATAATCTATTTATTTCTATAAATATAATCTAATAATTTCTATATCATATCCCCTTTTTTTCTTTAGAAAGAGATTGACTATAACCATTAACCATTTATAACTAACCCCCTATAAATGAAAACAAACATTTATAAACAATTATTTGGCGAATTTGGGCATAATTTTCTATACTACTTCCTGCTGATTGGGGGCACTGGTAATCTTATGGGGATCCTGAGAAAATTAAAAATTATGATTAAATCTTGGCTGTAGTAGTCTGTGAGGCTGCATTGTCTCAGCCAGTTTCCTTGGAGTTGTTCTGGATTTTGGATCCCCTGGTCCATTGCTCCCATTGGAGACCTCTTGGGGAGTCTTACTTGATCAAACCATATTGGCCTGGAAGGAATTCACAGCTTCTCATCTTCTGTGGGGAAAAAAAAAAAAAAAAAAGCAGAACCTCTTTTTCAAAGCAACATATCCTTAGGCCCAAATTTTGAACTCAAGATACCTTTATGCTGGTTTATCTTAGCCGCCCCCACAATCAAATGTCTCTCTGTAGTTACCTCATTAATAGTCAAAAAATTCAAGGAAAACACAATAATATACATAATCTAGAATCTTTCTATATTTTTCATCTTTACATGGCCCATTATAATTTTTTATTACTCTATTATTTAAGGACCTCAATTTATTATCGTTAAATTATTTGTTTTAAGCTAAGACTCTGTCTATCTCTGTCCTCTCTCCCAAGCCTATGTATACTTATCACACATACTGTGACCCGTTTTGAGGCCTTTTTTGTTTGTTTGGTTGGTTTTTTTGTTGTTGTTGGTTTTTTGGGTTTGTTTTTTGTTTTTTGTTTTTGTTTTTTTTTTTTTTTGATTTTGGTTTTTCGAGACAGGGTTTCTCTGTGTAGCTTTGGAGCCTATCCTGGCACTCGCTCTGGAGACCAGGCTGGCCTCAAACTCACAGAGATCCTCCTGCCTCTGCCTCCGGAGTGCTGGGATTAAAGGCGTGCGCCACCAATGTCCGGCCGTATTGAGGCCTTTTTGTCTGACTCTGTCCTTATTGTGTTATCTGTAATCTTTTTTTGATCAGGAGAGTTTTTAAGACATTAAGCAGACTTGACTAGGATTAAAGTGGCAGCTTTGGCTGCTGGCTCCACCCCACGTGGCTTTCCAACATGACTGGTGTTACCATATCCTGGGATTAAAGCCATTGGGAATACAACAGACTGATCCAGGCATGAAAACAAAGGGTACAGACCGGACAGATATGAAAGTATGAATCACTTCTCCAAGGAAAGAACCAAGACCTGCTGAGGGTGGAAAATACAGAATGTCTAGTAGAAGGCAGTTATAAATACCAGTTGCAGTAAGAAGGATCATAATTGAGTGTTTCTGTCATATTTTGTTAAGAAAATATTTGTTTTTTTCCTTGATTTCTTTATCTTGTAATGTCAATTAAGAGAATATCAGTGGTTGTCATATTTAAGTTTTGAGACACTGAAAGAATATCCCTGGATTGCCACTTGTTCTATAATGCATTTGCAGTTGTACATATGATAGTTGTATCATGTTAGGTGTAAGTATGATTTGGTTATTGTTTTCATTTGGAAATTAAGCATGACATAAGCATAATTGTGTGTCAAGTTCACAAGGAGTGGACTTGTGATGCTTCTCCTGGTTGTCAATTTGACTGCATTGTGGAATTAACTAAAACCCAAGAGGCTTGGCACACCTAAGGGATTTTTCTCTCCTTCCCTCCCTCCCTCCCTCCCTCCTTTCCTCAATCCCTCCCTCCCTTTGTTTTTGTTTTTTTGTTTGTTTGTTTTTTATTTTTTTGAGACAGAGTTTCTAATAACAGCTCTGTCCTGGAGCTTGCTTTGTAGACCTAGCCTCAGATTCACAGAAATTCACCTCCCAAGTGCTGGGATTACAGAATAGTGTATATCACCACCGGGCAAAGGTTTTGTTTTGTTTGTTTTGGGGTTTTCCCTCCCTTCCTTCCTTCCTTCCTTCCTTCCTTCCTTCCTTCCTTTCTTTCTTTCTTTCTTTCTTTCTTTCTTTCTTTCTTTCTTTCTTTCTCAAGGCAGGGTTCTCTGTGTAGCTTTGGAGCCTGTCCTGGAACTGGCTCTGTAGACCAGGCTGGCCTTGAACTCACAGAAATCCACCTGCCTGTGCTTCCCAAGTGCTAGGATTAAAGGCTTGGGTCCACTGCTACCTGGCTGGGATTTTTCTTAATAGATCATTTGAAGTAGAAGGACCCACCTTTAATCTGACCTTTCCAGGTAGGAAGATACATCTTTAATCTGGGCCCACACCTGCTGATGGTGGTTTATAAAAGGACATGGAGGATGGAAGGGCTTGCTCTTTGCTTGCTTGGCCTTGTTCTTGCTGGCAACTTCATTCCTACTTCTTTATGGTCCTGGCATATACTGAAGACCAGCTGAGACATCCAGCTTCATGGACTAAGTAACTGCTGGATTCTTGGACTTTCTGTTGGTAGACAGTCATTGTTGGACTAGCTGGACCACAGCCTGTAAGCCATTCTAATAAATTCCCTTTCCATGGATATATAGATGCATTCTGTTCCTCTAGAGAACCCTGACTACTGCAGTTATGGACCTAACTCTCTGAAACTGTAAACCCCAAATTAAACACTTTATAAGTTGCTTTGGTTATAGTGTTTTATTGCAGCAAGAGAAAAGTTCCTAAGACATATACCCATTTATGCATAGGCATAAAATAGGAAATGGGATTTCCCCTAAAAGTTTACTAGAGAACTTGGTTGTCTGCCTTTCTGCACGTGCAGTTCAGGCCAAAATGTTCTTCATACCCTTTAGGAATATACTTGTATAGAAACTTTCTAAATTTGCTTGTTACCAGAGGCAGAGAAACTATTATGATTTGTAGTGATGAGAGTACATGTAGCCCAATGCAAGTAAGGAGTTCTAGAGGATTCTAAGGTTGCTATGTGTGCTGTTTGAAGAGAAGTACATGTACCTAGTATGAGCAAGGAAAGGAGATAGTGTGCCAAGCACATTGTTACAAGTGAGTATTATATATAACAAAAACCAAATAGAGTCCTAGGCTAACTATCCCCTAATTTACCTGCCTCTAAGTGGTGAGTTCTGGGTTCAGTGAGAGACTTGGTCAAAAAGTATGACAGAGAAATGATAGAGGAAGACACCAAATGTTGACTCTGGCTACCACATAAATGCACATATATACACATGTACATGAGCATGCATACACAAAACATGTGCTCCAGTGTGTGTGCACACACATAAAAACCTGGTGTTATGCTGTACACTTAGGAAGGGGAATTATGAAGGTTAGAAGTTAAAGGTCATCCATTGGCTATATAGAAAGCTCAAGACTAACTTGGGCTACATTAGACCTTATCAAAGTAAAATAAAAAGAGAGGATATGCATTGCTATAGTTTTAATGTGTTTTTTGTGTTAGGTGTAGTTTTGGACATGATGTTACTTTTATTTTTTATTTTTTTGAGACCTGATTTCTCTGTGTGGAGCTGGCTGTCCTGGAACTCAATCTGTAGATCAGGCTGGCCTCTTAACTCACAAAGATCCTCCTTCCTCTGTCTCCCGAGTGCTGAGATTAAAGGTGTGCACCACCACTGCCTGGTAACAATATTTTTACTCCCTTGTGTATGTTATTCTAGTTGTTTATACTTTTTGTAACATACTATGCTTTCCCTGTTCATTTATCATTAGGAGATGTTAGATATATCTAAGAAAACAGCTCCTTGCTTTGTGAACTTCTCCAGATTACAGCAGATCTCAGATATTCAAGCTGAAATCAACCAGGTAAATTATGAGATTTTGACTTCTACTTCTCCATTTAAAAACGTGTGTACTATGCTGGGGTGTAGTTTCAGAGAAAGTGGATGGTTAGCATACAAGATGTCCTAAAACAAACAAACTAAAAACCTCTTAATTGGTTTGAATAGCATTCTTTTGCAGTTACAGCAGTGCCTAATACATGGTTAGTAGGTGCTTGTTGTAGTAGTTAATTGTAATAACAGGAATGCAAGATACCAAAATGAAAGGCTCCAGTGACTTACCCTGACTTTTATATAAACTATCCTTCCATCTGTAGCATGTCCATTTTATCAGTGTTTTAAGTCTTTAACTTCAGGTCACTTTCTGAGTGATCTAAAGTTTCCTTTTGTTCCTCATGTAGAACAACCTAGAAATTGAACTTCTAAAACTAGAAAAGGATACAGCAGATCTTATTCATCCTTCCTGTTTGGGTAAGTTGCTTGCCTAAGAGACTAATATTAGGATTTCAGCTTGATCTTGAATTATTGTATATAAACACCAGGTGGCAGAATTCTAACCTCATAACCTTTCCTGAATATTGTCCTATAACTAACATGTTTTCAGGGTTTTTTGTTTGTTTTGTTTTATTTTCTTACTGTATTCCCTTGGCTAGCTTAGAACAAGTCCAGTTGACTTGACTAGTGAAAATAGCATATAGAAAGTGACCAGGTTGAGGGGCTGGAGAGATGGCTCAGAGGTTAAGAGCACTGGCTGCTCTTCCAGAGGTCCTGAGTTCAATTCCCAGCAACCACATGGTGGTTCACAACCATCTGTAATGAGATCTGGTGCCATACAGGTGGAACACTATACATAATCTTTTTTTTTTCTTTAAAATCTTTAAATTTTACTTTTTTATTATGTATACAGTTATCTGCATGCATACTTTCACACCAGGAATTCATGTCCATGGGCACCAGGTAAACATATAATGTGTACACATACATACAGGCAAAACACCCATACACATAAAAATAATTTTTTTTAAATGTAGTAAAATAATAGCACTCTGCAGCAGGGAGGGTTCTTGTTTGTTTTGTTTTGAGACAGGGTCTTACTATGAAGTCCTGGCTGGCCTGGAACTCACTGGGCAGATCAGGCTGGCCTTGAACCTCTGAGATCCATCTGATTCTGCCTTCTGGATCCTGGGATTAAAGTCATGTGCCAACACTTCCAGCTCCATATCACCACAGGATCCCCTGGAACTGGAATTACAGATGGTTGTGGGTCCTCTGGAAGAGCAATGGGTGGCCTTAACCACTAAGCCATCTCTGCAGTTCCCCAGGCAAGACATTCTTAGTGATTGTAAAGCATACTTGTCCTGTTGCTAACTGTGGTTGCCATCTCTGGTTTATGTAGTTAAGAAGTGTGACTCTCTGCAAATCATGAATAATCATCTGGAAATGGTGCTCAAGGAGAAGCGGGCCATCAGGCAAAGACTGCTGAGACCCATGTGCCAGGAGAACCTGCCAATTGAAGCTGTGTATCACAGGTCAGAGCACAGAGAGAAGTGGAGAGTTAGACATGCTTTTTTTTTTTTTGAGACAGGGTTTCCCTGTGTAGCTTTAAAGGCTGTCCTGGAACTAGCTCTTGTAAACCAGGTTGGTCTCCAACTCACAGAGATCCGCCTGCCTCTGCCTCCCGAGTGCTGGGATTATATACATGCCTTTTTAAAGTAGCTTTTGTTTAGACTGGCAGTTATGTTGTAGCATAAGTCATAAAGCAATGCTATTGAGTATATTAACATTACTAGTATTGATATATTAAATTAGATAGTGCCCTTTGTTTTTAAATAATTATAACTGGAAAAAAAAAAGGACTTTGTTTTGCCAGTTGTGTTTTAGAAATTATAAATTATGGTTTGTTAAAAAATATTAGTTCCCGGGGCTGGATAGGTGGCTCAGCAGTTAAGAGCACTGACTGTTCTTCCAGAGGACTTGAGTTCAAGTCCCAGCAACCACATGGTGGCTCACAACCACCTTGAATGAGACTTGATGAGCTCTTCTGGCATGCAGACAGAAGACTGTATACATAATAAATAAATAAAATCTTAAAAAAAGAAAGAAAGAAAGAAAAATATTAGATCCCTAACATGCAGCACAGTAAAATCTGTTTTATTATGTATAGACTGTTTTCTATGAAGTACATTTATTATTGTCTATATATAAAAATTCTATTGAAATTTAACAAAGGAAAAACAGTAAAAGACACAAAAACTGGCCTGGTGGTGGTGGCCCACACCTTTAATCCCAGCACTCAGGAGGTAGAGGCAGGAGGATCTCTGTGAATTCGAGACCAGTCTGGTCTACAGAGGGAGTTCCAGGATAGCCTCCAAAACCACAGAGAAACCCTGACTTGAAAAACATAAATAAATAAATAAATAAATAAATAAATAAATAAATAAAAAGAAAAGCTAATTTACTTTCTCTCTGTATTGCTTTTCTTTTCTAACCACTGTCACAGAATACCCAACAGAAGCAACTTAGTTGGGGAGAGGCTTATTTTGCCTCACAGTTTAGAGGTAGTGCATCCAACATTGTAGGGAAGGCCTTGTGGTTGGTGTTCAAGTGGATGGTCCCTGCCCCTGAGGACTTCCAACCACTAGGCTCCACCCACAGAACACTAATGCCCTGGACTTGGAAACCCACCAAGCCCCACTCTGGAAAGCTCCGTCCCCAAGAAATGTTATATAAACTCTGTCTTCTGCTCAGTTCTCTACTGCTTCTCACCCCTCACCCTAGTAGAGGCAGCTACCCTCCTGGGTTTTTCCCTACACATCTCTTGTGTGAGGTCCGTGTGCTATGTAATGTTGTAGTAGTTCTTGGCTCCTGACTGCCGGGGTACCTTTCCCTGCACAGCTGTAACACTTGCACTGGAGAAACACCCCACCCTGCCCCCCAGCAGAGCCGTAACGTTTGCAGTAGGGAAACCTTCATCCGGAGTGCTGTAACACTTCCATTGGGGAATCCTTTCCCCTCAGAGCTGTAACATGCACAGCTAGTGCAACTCCATCTGTGGTGGCAGGATTGTGAAATGGCTTGCTCACGTCTTAATGAATCAGAAATTGGAGATCGCCTTCAAGGACTGCCCCCAGTTATCTATATCTACCAACTAGTCCCTGTGCCCAATAAGTCCCCAAACAGCATTACCCAATTGGGACCAAGTGTTCAAACACGGGAGCCTGTGGTACAAATTTACATTCACCCATATACTCTCTTTCAGATATATGGTACATTTGTTGGAATTGGCTGTGACTTTCATCGAGAAGTTGGAAACCAATCTTGAAACAATTAGAAATATCCCTCATTTAGATACAAACCTAAAGAAAATGGTGAGTAATAGCTGCCCTTAGTTCTTATATTAGAATATGTTAGTTCTTATATTAGAATATATTAGAAAGCTGTGTAACCTTCACATTTAACTTTTTGGTTTTGATTTTATTTTTTCAATAGTCTCACAAAGCTCAGACTAGCCTCAGACTCCTAAATTAACAAAGCAATGTATTTATGTCATCATGATATTCTCATATGGATGTGTGATTACCCTTTGTTGTACTGTGTTCTCATCTGCTGCTGTCCTCCTGTCTCCTCCATCCAGTTCTTCCTAGCCTGCCAGCTTCCTCTGGATAGTGTCTCCTTTTATTTGTATGTCACATGTGTTCTTACTCTTTTTACCCTCTCCTCTCATCTGTTAATATGTCTTTCTCTCCTTTCACTGTTTCTGTTTTACACACAGATACACAATTCAAATCTAGAATACACATTTGAGACAAAACTTAAGGTGTTTGTCTTTCTGAGCTTGGCTAATTTCACTTTGAGTAGTCATTATTAGAATCATAAAACAAAAGAAACATTTTCTTAACCAAGCATGGTGCCCTACACCAATAATTCTAGTACTTGGGTGCCTGAAGAAAATTGTTGTGGAATTTGGGGCTAGCCTGCACTATGTAGTAAGTTCCAGACTAGCTTAAGCTACAAAATGAGATTCTGTCTCAAAGCAAAAAGAAACTTTTTTAAAAAATATTACTCTGCCAGGCGGTGGTGGTGCATGCATTTAATCCCAGCACTCAGGAGGTAGAGACAGGAGGATCTCTGTGAGTTCAAGGCCAGCCTGGTCTACTGAGTGAGGTCCAGGATGCCTCCAAAGCTACAGAGAAACCTTGTCTTAAAAACAAACCAAAAAAATTTACTGTGACATCATTTCCATTTTTTTATTCCCTTGCCATCTGGTTCCCTCCTCCCACCCTCCCCCCCAAGTCTTGCTATATAATGGGGCTGGCTTCAAACTCACTGTCTTTTGCCACTGCCTTCCAAGTGCTGGGATTTTAGACATATGCCACCACACCTAGCAAGATACATACTTTTTACTTCATAGGATTGCATTTACATAAGTATAAAATAAAATTATTAGGAGTTGCTAACTGTTTATCACAGGAAAAACTACTTTTGGTACAGGAACTGGGAACAGGATAGGACACAGAAAGATTTTAGAAAGTTTTCAGAATTAATTTGAAGAATAAGTAAAATCTGAACATGTGTCAGAAAGACTAATGTGGCCATAGCAATAGTGGGGAGAAGTTATGAACAGAGAGCAGAGATAACTGCAGGAGAAAGTAGCTTCCACTTTGGATAAGGTAGTAGATTGGTCAGAACTATGCTTAAAGACTCATGGAGAAAATATTGGATAGACTAGATTGAGCTCTGCCACTCAAAGTATGAATAGAGGGAATCCTTATCATCTGGAAGATGTTAGAAGTGCAGACTTTCAGGGCCAAGGATCAGCTTGCTATAGTGCTTTTCTAGTATGTGAAAGGCCTTTGCTCCTTCCCCAGCACCAGAAGAAAAGAAAATTGCAGAATTTCAGACTTTAGTCACCGTATACCTTTAGAATCAGTTTAAGACAACTTTGGTATACACACATGCCTGTAATCACAGCGCTGGGGATGATAAAGTAGGAGCATTACCAAGAAAGCCTGAGTTCATTTGAGTATAGTTTAAAACTGATGATAAAGGAGACATGAACTCACAAATAGACGATATATGTGTTTGGGTGGGGGTAGAGACATAGTTCTAAGGAACTGTTACAGTAAGGGACTAGAAAATGATCAGATATTAATTTTTGGTCTATTTTTGACATAATGGTAATCAATAACAGATTCTTTTTTCTATTTTTCTTTATTTCACATGTTACAGAGCAAGGCATTAGCCAAGATGGATATTTTGGTGAACAAGACAGAAGAATTGGCAGAGAATATACTCAAGTGGCGAGAACAACAAAAGGAAATTTCCTTGTGTATCCCCAAAGTACTAACTGAAGAAAATTATCTTCTCAAATTTGATATAGTTCCTCCTTTACCTTTTGTTTCTAAAGTTCATGCCCAAACCATTAATGCCAAGTGATTGCCGTCTTTCCTTTTGTTTAATTATGTGTAGTCAAAGAAGTCCATTTTTAGGTGATTGTGACAGGGATATTGATAGGTTTTGTTGCTAGAAACACTGAAAAAGCCCTCTGAATTTTGGAGTACCAGGCCCAGAGAGATGTCTCCTCAGGGAAAAGCTCCTGGTTCAAGCCTGACAATCCCTGGGCTCAATCCCTGGGATCTATATAGCTTTTTTCATATATTTTCACTCTCTTTGGTATAGCTAAAAAAGATCAAATATGTGTATGATAACTTATTATCAGTGAGTTGAACACTCTTCAGACAGCAGATTCTGTATCATGATTCTGTATCTCTTATAAAAACATTTTTGAATTGGAGTATTCCTGAGTCTGAAAATTTCTGTGGTGATTATTCCTGTGAGACTTCAATGTTACCCTATGAAGGACTGATAAGGTGTAGTTCTTGGCTGGCACATCTAGAAACTCATATAATAGGAGGATGAGTAGGGCTCAATAGAACCAGGCTGTGCATGTGGTTTGTGTGGGACACTTGCTTTCCTTCTGAGAGTCTAAGATGTTGGTACACACCAGGAAGAAAGTACTTTTGTTACCGGTCCCTGGCAAAAATCTGGAGCACACATCCATAACAATTTTAGTGGTAGACAGCATTTCACAGTGTCACAGTCCAGCTGTGAGTGTGATGACACTAAGTCTTATATATCCTCTTAGCAGATCACTGAACCTAGTTGTGTTCTCAGGAGTGCCTGGGAAACAAATGCTGAGAATGTGTGCTAGCAGCCTTAGGACATGCAAAGAAGAAAGATTCAAGGGGGAAAAGGCATATTGTGGTAAGATTTAAAAACTTGTTTTGATACTTCTTATATGTAGTCAAGGCTAGTCTCAAACACATGATCCTTCTTGTTTCAACCTCGAGAGTGCAGGAATCACAGAAATGTGCCATCACATCTGGCTAAAGTATAAAGATTTGTAATGGATAATACGATATATTTTACCTACTTAGGGTTATTCATAAAATACAGACTAATACACTTAAAGTAGAGATTCTAACAACTTCCTCGAGATGTTTTCATTTACATTGATACTGTAAGTACTTCTGGCTTATATTTAAACTGGGATTCTATTTTCCACACTGTTGACTTCTGTGTCATGGGAGTTTAGCAAACTTCTGTTCATCATATTCTTAACTGAAGACTTCACCCGTTAGATAATAAACACTGTTCACGAACAACAGGATCCTTACTCCCCACCCCAAGAAAGACCCTTTTAACAGATCTTTGTTTTGAAAAACTCTACACCTTTTATAAATGCACCATAGAAGAGTGGTGTTGAGATTTTGAACATCACCCAGACAATCATCAAAATCCTTATTTGTATTCATCTCAAATCTCTTTCAACATCTAGTCATTTTCCTTATATGATTTCTTGTGTGTGTGTATGTATATAATCATGTCTCCACTATTAATATCCCTGGTGGTTTTGTATTTTTATTTCCCATTAATGCCTCAAGATGTAAAAATAAACTAATTTCAATTAAATGTGGCTTAATATGAATATCAAGTAACAGAAAGAAAACACTCTTTTCTTAACATACTGTAAATATTGGCCGGGCGTTGGTGGCACGTGAGTTTAATTCCAGCATTTGGGAGGCAGAGGCAGGCAGATCTCTGTGAGTTTGAGGCCAGACTGGTCTCCCGAGCGAGTGCCAGGATAGGCTCCAAAGCTACACAGAGAAACCCGGTCTCGAAAAACCAAAAAAAAAAAAATGTATTCAAGCTATCCAACTCACAAAAGCTTAAGATAAGTTAACCTAAACTCTAATGTAAAGAGGAAAGCTAATTCAATAAGTGCTGATTTGTATGTAAGAGCAAGAAATAGAGTGAGTCAGGCTATAGAAAACAGTTGCCAAGGAGGGAGAGAGAATCAGTTTTTTGTTTTTTTTCTAAATGTTACCTAGACTGGATTCAACAATCCTCCGGTCTTGGCTTACCATGTTGTAGAAATACAAGCATATGTCACTGTGTCTGGTTTGAACAAATGTTTCTATTTTTGTGAAACTCAAGGGCAGGCAAGCTGGGGATCTCTGTAGCTGATGGATAAGAAGAGAAAGCAATGAGTCAAGAAAACAGGCAGGAGCTGAGATGGCTCGGTGGGTGAAAGTCCCCACATAAGGGTGAGGACCTGAGTTCAAATCCCTAGAACCCACATAAACCTGGCCACCCTTCAGTGGGATGGGAGGCCAAAGGGAGGGCCAGCTAGCCTCTTATATGCCTCTTATAAGCAGCTGCAAACAAGAGCCCCTGTCAAGGTAGGTGACAACTAACACCCAAGTTTGTCTTCTGACTTCTGTTCATGTGCCATGGCTTCTTTATGACTACAGTCCTGCACGTGCAGAGATTAAATATAATTTAAGGAGTGAGCAGGCTTAGAAGTGGAAATCTTTAAGTGGCTTCTGAGGGTAGGATGGGATGTCAGGCAAGCAGGCTGGCAAAATTTATAAATGTGATTCCAGTATAATTGTGTCAATTTGTAAAAGCTGTATGGGAGGACTCTTCCTAGCTTTTGTTGCTATTTACTTACTACTTTCTCTGACCTGTGACTGCCACATTCAGCTCTCATTTGTCCTTTCAAAGTTTCAGTGAAGTCAGAAAGGTCTCTGAGGGACAAGAGGATCTAAGAAATTTCTTGATTTGAAGAAACCATAATATGGGCTGGAGAGATGGCTCAGAGGTTACGAGCACCGGCTGCTCTTCCAGAGGTCCTGAGTTCAATTCCCAGCAACCACATGGTGGCTCACAACCATCCATAATGAGATCTGGTGCCCTCTTCTGGCCTGCAGGCATATGTGGAGGCAGAATGTTGTATACATAATAAGTAAATAAAATCTTAAAGAAAAATGAAACTATAATATGAGGAGTGAGAGGGAAGAATCATAATACAGTTGATATTGTAATGACTTAACATATTGTGAGATTTTCTCAGTTGTTTGTAAAGCAAGTGAAATCACATAAAAGTTGCTGGAGAGATGGTTCAGAGGTTTAAGAGCACTGGCTGTTCTAGAAGATACAGATTTGAATCCCAGCACCCACATGGTGGCTCACAGCTATCTGAAACTCTCGGTCCCTGGGGAATCCATCAACCTGCTGACAAGGTTTATAGGCCTTACATTAAGGCAAAACAAACAAACAAAAACCCTCATCCACATAAAGAAAAAAATTAAAGGCTCGGTGTGGTGGGCTTTAGCACTAGGGAAGCTGAGGCAGGTGGATCTCTGTGAGTAGAGTTTCAGCACAGTCAGGATTATATAGACAGACCCTGTCTCAAAAAAAAAAAAAAAGAAAAAGGAAAAAAAAGTTTTAAGTGGGTTTGGGGAAGTGACTCTGTCAGCAAAGTGCTTGTTGTAAAGGTATGAAGGCTTGAATTCAGATTTTTCCAGGCTCCATGTGAAAAGCCAGGCACACATCTGTAATTCTAGTGTTAGAGAGGTAGAAAGACTTGCTGGCCAGCCTATCTGGCCAAATTGGTCAGCTTCAGATAAAGTGAGGCTCTTGTTCAAAAAAGTAGAGTGTGTCTACCTCTGGTCTCCATTTGCTCCTGAGCACACATATGCACAAACTTGAATGTGCACACAAAAAACAGGTTCAGTCTCAAGTGAGTGTGGATGTATAGTTTGAAGTGCTGAGGAGCAAACCCAGGGCCTACAGTCCTAGCAATTGAGATGCCAAGTGTGAGTCCCAGGCCAGCCTGAGCTACACAGCAAGATGCTGTCTTGAAAAAAAAACATAACAAAACATTGGAGTTTATTCCTCTTACCTTTATGTATTTTTTTAATGAAGCAAAATTAGGATTTATTCAGAGAAGGATGAGAAGAGGGCTAGAAACCTGAACTCTAAATATTTGGTGCTATTAAGGAATCAGTATACTTGGTTGTTACAATGGTATTATATGTCAAAAAATACACACTAAAATAATTATGAAGTGGGCTTTTTTGTTTTTGTTTTGGGGGTTTTGTTGTTTTGTTTTGTGTTTTTGAGACAAGTTCTCATCTAGCCCAGGCTGGCCTGCAGTTTGCTGATCCTTACTAATGCTGGGATAATAAGTGTGTAATGCCTCCCCTGATTTCTGCCATCCTGGCACTTGAACCTAGCTAGGGCTATGTGAATATTAGGCATACACTTGACCAATTGTGCTACATCCCCAGTCTTGAGTACAATATTTTTAAATATTATAATGTTCCAATTATATTATGCTTTATAGCCTGAAGATAGAAATATTAATCCAGCAGCAGTTTTCATTGCAAATCAGCATGAAGAGTGATCCTATCCAGGAGACTGGGGTTGCAAGTGAGTCTAAATTGTAAGCCAGCTCTCTAGTAAATTGCTCTATTGGTACTTTCAAATGGACAAGAAAAAGGAACCTACATGACTCATCACCCTGGTTCTGCCACTGGAATACTAAAGTAGCCGCCTGACTGATCTCACTAGGCTTCTACATGCTTCTCAGACTAGCCAGAATAATCCTCTAAAGCTATAAATCAGAGGCTCAGCCAGTAAAGGAACTCACTGGCCACCAAAGCTGCAGACCTGAATTTGGTACCCCACATGAATGGCAAGTTGTTCTTGCTAAAATAAGGAATCAGAGGGTGACATAAGCAATGTCTATCCCTTCTCCTAAGGTCCCAATGACAGAGCATGGACTCACCAAAATTCACTCTGGGGGACCAACGAGTTTATTGGGATTCCTTGTTAAACACATGGGTGAGGGGTTACTTACAAGAGTGTGGGTGCTCTTCTCCCCCAAAAGGCAGACTTTACCAGCAGGGATGATAGCTTTCCTATAGCTGCATAGATAAAGGGCACTCCACTTTCTCCCTGCACAACTCCCCCCCCCCCATTGCCTATGTGCTCTAGCTTCTCCTCAAGGATTTGTGCAATTAGGGCAGAATTGCATACAATAGGGGATGTAAACCCAACTGATCTGAATTCCCAAAAGTCAAGTATGATGTCCCTGATCTCCACTCACATTCTGTGGCACACACACACACACACACACACACACACACACACACACACACACACAAAATTTGAAAATTAAATAATTTTACTCTTTTCTACCATACTTTCCTATGGTTTCCCAATTCACTGAATAAAATCCAGAGACCACCAAGGCTCATGTTGGCTCTGCCCCTCCATCTACCCCCACTCAGGTGCCTGTTTACTCGAGGCCTTACTTTGACCAGCTCCCTGTGTCTGCCCTTTCACACAACTTAGCTTTTAGTTTCTTGTTTTAATACCGGGTCTTGCTATTCAGTCCATGCTAACATGGAACTCAAAATGATCCCACTTCAGCTGAAGCAGGACCCTGACCATCGACCCCTCCAACCACCATGACTTACTGATGCTGTTTTCTTTGCAACTTTCATGCTTTTCTTAAGTTTCATAAAGGCCTCCCTTGATGGCATTTTAATTTCATCATGATTTCCTACTCACTTCCTATCTCCTTTCCCATTCATTACTTTTTACCCTTTAGCCAATTTGCTGATTAAATTGTTTTACCCAGCTCTATGAGGTCAGAGGTTTTGTCAGGCTGATATGTCCTTATTGCATAGAACAATGCCTGCCTTAATAGAGGCTTACTTAAGAAATGCTAGGAAATACGTACAGTCTCTGACTGACTGCCCAGTCCTGCTTTCCTCGAATATATTAGAATGTCAGCATTATCAGTGACTGCTTGCTTGAAGAGTCTATATAAAATAGTAACTTCTTCTCCAGACACATACTCCACTTGGTTCCCTTTTATTTTTCCTTGCACTCAGTGTCTTTCACCATGTTATACATGTTAGGTATTTATTTCCTTTTCCTTATGATTCCAGTTCCCATGAAGGAAGAGGCTTTGTTTTATTCTGTTTTCATTTTGTCTTGTCTGTGAATCTTTAAACTCTAAATTTCAACAGTGGCTAGCCCCACACTCACCCCTCTCTAAACATGATGTATGAAGAGTCAGAAGTCTTCAGTGGACACATTTGTCACCATCAAACAGACACTAGTTTATGTTTTTGTTGTGTGATACAGGAGCTTCCTATGTAGCTATCTTGGAACTGCCCATTGCTAGAACTCAGTTTTTGCTCATCAGCACCACTGGGTGGGAAAGGGGTTTTGGTCCCTTCACCTTCGAGCTGGGCTTGAGGCTTTACAGGTGTAAGCGGTTCTGGTCAGACAGCATTTACTCTGTGTTACAAATACTGCTAGGGTGGCAGTGAAGTTCCAGGGAAGTAAAGAGAAACTTGCTAGTAAATTAGAAAAAAAAAAACAAAAAAAACCAAAACGAAAAACCCTCCTCGTTAAACACTCCTTGGAACTGCAAAATCATTTATTTTGCCCATTTCATTGTTTTGAGACAAGATTTCACGCTGCACTCCAAAATAACCTCAAATGACCATGTACTGCCCAGGCTGACCTTAAACTCACAATAATATTCTGCCCCAGCTTCCACAAAAGGCTCCACCTCAGTTTTGCTCCTAAAATTTAGCAGCTGTTTTGACATCTCAGACCAATAGGGTAAAAAAACCAATATTTAGCAATTTACGTCATGAACTTCTGAGTAAAGCTTTGTCGCCAAATCTTAGAACAAAGGAGTGGACACAGCACGCGCCGGGCGTCTGAGGTGAGAGGGGCAGAGCGAGACTTGGTGGTCCGGCCCACCTGCCTCAGAATTGGCGGGAGGCTGGGCGGGCCCGGTCTCTGTCGGGCGGGCGGTGGCTCATATTTGGGCGGGGCTATCCGGGGGGAGGTGAGAGGGTGGAGCGAGGCTAGGAAGCCCACCCCACTTGTCTCAGGATTGGCCAAGGCTGGGAGAGCTCCGCCCCTTTTGGGCGATGGCTTACACTTGGGCGGGAGCGTCCGGGGAGGTGCGAGGGAGAGAGGCGGAGCGGCCCGTGCGTCCTCCCGCCCACTCTTGTCAGGATTGGTAGAGGCTCAGCGGGCCCCGCCCCCTCGGGCGAGGCTGGGGATGCCACCCGGAGGCGCGTGGGGCGGGCGGGGCAGTCTGTGGTTGTTGCAGGCTGGGTCTTCTCGCTGGACGCCGTCCAGGGATGCTTCCGCTGGACCGCTGTGCGGGTCTTGGGCTGAGGCAGAGGGATGGCGAATGTGCGGGTGGCCGTGAGGGTCCGGCCTCTCAGCAAGCGGTGAGTCTGGCAGGAGGGGGCGCCTGAGGCGTCAAGTGAACTGAGAGGAGCCCGAGATCGCAGCCCCAGACTGAAGGTGCCCCGAGGGCTCAGAGTCCAGAAGCCATGAAGGCACAGGCGGGACAGGGCTTCAAGTTGAGCTTTCGCATCGCGTCCTATGTGCTAGCAGTTCCTGTGTGGCTTTAGGGGTCACTGCCCTGTGTGCACGTCCTTGGCATCTTGCCAACAAGAGTTTCTAGGGACCCTGGCTCAGGTCTTGGTGCACTTAGTAGGGCCCTTCTCAGGCATTGATGTAGGAACTTAGAAAGGGATGAACAGTCTCGGGATGGTGTCGCGGGAGTAACCAAGTGAGGAGTGGAGGGTGTGTACTCACATATACACATGGGATTCCTCTGTGGGGACATAGGAAAAAGAATTATCAGGATATGGGAGGGAAACTGAGACCCAGAGAGACTGTGGTTTCAGTCAGTGCTCAACAGCTGACGTGATTTAAGAACAGAACTGTGACGTGGGGGAAGGGGAAGTTATTTCTCAGTGCCAGTTCATTGTGCATGAGCCTGATTCTGCACCTCTGTAACCCTTGAGGCGTCCAGTGTGGAGCTGCGCGTTTCCATCTTCTTCCATTCACTTGGGAAGTCAGAGAAGGCTTTGCACAAGAGTTGATGTCTGAACTGTCTGAATGATCTTTGAATTTTCTGACAGGTAGGGGATAGTGCAGAGCTCTGTAAAGTAAGAACAGGAAGAGAAAGTGAACTTAGGCTGTTTGGGTATAGATGGAACCTTTGGACATGTGCTTGAATGGAAGCAAGGGCAGAGTGTGATTCTAGACGAGATGACATGCATTGGAATTTTTGTACAAAAGAAATTTTAAATGTCCAGTACACAAGATGGTAAATGGAGACAGAGGCCAAGAAAAGCATTGTGTCCAAAGACAGAAAACAGTACTATGGGGGCTGATTGTCCTTGTAGAGGCCATTAGCTTTGAAAATTTTTGACAGAATAAGAACTGTGAGATAGGAGGAATATGTAAAAAGAATGTACCCTCGCCAGTCGTGGTGACACATGCCTTTAATCCCTTTAATCGGGAGTCAGAGGCAGGCGATCTCTGAGTTGGAGGCTAGCCTGGTCTACAGAGTGAGTTCCAGGACAGCCAGGACTGTTAGTTTTTAAACATCTCAGGGATGGAGGTGACTCAGGGATGAAGGCTTCTTGGGAGCAGCTACTACTCAGGAGGAGGTAGCTGCTGGTAGATCTTATTCTTTCCAAACTATTTTTTAGGGTTCTTGGGATAGCAACATTGACCACTCTTAATTTTTAGCTCCTTGGAAACTAGGAATTTCAAAGAGCATGGATTAGATTAAGAAGATGATGTGGAAACTCCTTTGTTATTTGCAGTTGTTGCAGAGAATAACATATCTCATCCAACAAAAATGAAAAACAACCTGGAAACGTATTTACTTTTATCTCCAGTGAAGAGGCTTTGAGAGTAAGTGGTAGATTGTCAAGCCGCCTAATCTCCAGGTGTGATCTGATTTATAGCAGGCTGCAAATTCACAATCACTGATTCAGGAATAGTTATGTAAAAACTCAGGGTGATCTCAGCTAAGACGTTCAGACCAGACCATTCTTTAATTCCCACAGAATTCTGCAGAGATGGTAGTGGCACCCACTGTTTATTGACACTGTTTTGCATGTGGAGAATCTGCTGCTGATGTAGTCTGTTCCAACATTCAGATAAGTCATCAGTACTGATACTGCATTGGTGAGGGAACCATTAAAGTCATCTAGCCCAAGCTTACATTATTTTTCTCCAAACAAGAACATGGACTTGCTTAAGTTCTAAAAGCAGGATTTGATCCACTATATCACACCTCTGCCTCCTGAGTGCTGGGATTAAAGGCCTGCGCCACCACCACCTGGCACTTGTCAAATCTTTTTATAAAACATTTCACTAGCATGTGTTAGTTGTACAAAATAATGAGCTTCATTATGACATTTTCACATTGTTATATAACGAACTTTGATCATGTCACCTGTTACCATTTTGTGTCTAATCAAGTGTTAGTTCATATCATTTTTAGTGATTGTTTTATTCTTCTAGCCTCTTTGGTGTCTGTTTCTTACTTTTTTGAGTTTTAAAAAGGAGTAAGTACAAATGTATAGCCTCTTGGTTATATTCCCCTCTAGGACAGTGGTTTTCAAATTACAGCACACATAAAATCCACCCAAGAAACTGGTTATCATCTACTCTACTCCTCTAAACATTTAAATTAATTCAGCCTTCTTGTATTCCTCTTAATTCTGATGTAGGCAGCCTGTAGACTTCTGTTCAAAATCTTTGACTCTAAAGAATGGATTCTGCTGATGGGCTCTGGAATCTAGTGGTAGTGGTGACTTTTGCTTAGGGCTTTTCCTCAGTAGGAAATATTGGCTTCTTTTTGTTGTTGTGTTTAGCTTTTTTTTTTCCCAAGACAGGGTTTCTCTGTGTAGCCTTGGCTGTCCTGGAACTCTCTCTCTCTCTGTAGACCAGGCTGGCCTTGAACTCAGAGATCCTCTTGCCTCTGCCTCTGCCTCTTCCTCTGCTGCCTCTGCCTCTGCCTCTGCCTCTGCCTCTGCCTCTGCCTCCCGAGTGCTAGGATTAAAGGTGAGCACCACCACTGCCCAACTGAAGCCAGATTCTTAATTGAGATTGAAGACCTTTCTGCCCTCTTAAAATTTAATGCCAGCCTTTCTGTAGGTGAGCAGAGGGAAGTGGAACAATTTTACCTTTTTGTGATTGATGATCCTGGATGATTAGGGACATCTCTGGACTTGGGGTGTGGCTGAATGGTAAAGTCCTACCTAAATGTGTGAAACACTGGGTTTGATCCTCTTCGCCATGAAAGAATACCTCTCTCATGTACTGTTTTCTGTAAAGTGGACAAGAAAATACAGTAAGGCCTTAAGGGGAAAGAAACAACACAAACTTAAATTTAACTAACAAAAATTGTACTTAGCTAGTATTTTTTTTGTTTCTTTTTTTTTTTCAAGACAAGGTTTCTCTGTATTGCCTGAATGTCCTGGAACTAGTTCTGTAGACCAGGCTGGCCTTTAACTCAGAGACCTGCTTGCCTCTGCCTTCCAAGTGCTGTGATTAAAGTTAGCACTACCTGTCCAGAGAGAAATTTTTTATCTAGGGCTTTATTCCAGATACAGCAACTGCCTTCAGTTGATGAGCCATCTTGCCCTAGCTGGGGGTTTTTTGTTATGAAAATGGTGGGCTTCAGATGTATGGATCACCAGAATAAGTCTATTAAATATGCCTATTAAAATGAATGTTTAGTCCCCAACACTGTAGGAAAGAAGTTGGAAGTGAATGTAAAGGTTGGGTAGCTGCTAGCAGTGTTAGCACGTAAGGGGCAATATAGGAAGATTTTTAAGTACCTTGGCTTTCACCCTGACTTCAGATGTAAAGCATGCCCACAGTGTTTCAGCAGAGAGGACTCCAGTACTCTTTATTAGTACTTTGTTTAATAGTTCAGAGACAGTGAGAAATTGTATCATGCACTGTGCCAAAGATAGTTTCCAAGCCTGATTTTTAAGGTATAGTTAAGAATCAGACAGATCTGGATGTAAATTCCAGTTCTGCTGGTCCTAGCTGGGTGGCCTTGGACAAGTTATGCAATTTCTCTAAGCTTTACTTTAAAGTTCTGTCAAAAGGAAGATATGCTATGAAGCCGTATCAGGAGAGTAGGGTGGATGGATTAATTACAGTATCCATACCTGATACAGTACTTCATACATAGAAGACCACCAAAATACGTGGTGACGGTTAGTGATTCCAGAATCAAAGTTTATGATCAGGAAAGTATGCCCTCAAGGGAGTCTTTATATGCTTTTAGCTGTTTATAAAGACAGGCTTCCACTTACTGGAACAGGGACAGAAGTAAGAAAACCAATTTCTTTTTCTTTCTTTCTTTTTTTTTTCTTTTTTTTTTTTTTTTGGTGTGCACGTGCGTGTGCCCGCGCTCATGTGTGTGTGTGTGTGTGTGTGTGTGTGTGTGTGTGTGTTTTAAGTGGGTGCCAGATGTGGTGGCACATGCCTGTAATTCTAGATTTTGGGCAGAAGAGGCAGAAGGATCAGAAGCCCAAAGTCATTCTTGGCTAGAGAGTGAATTTGAGGCAGCCTGGGCTACCTGAGACTCTGTCTCAGAAAACAAAACAGAAAGTGTTTCTTCTCATTTAAATTCTGTTCTTATTTCTTAGGGAGATCAAAGAAGGGGGAAGAATTATTGTGGAAGTTGATGACAAAGTGACAAAAATCAGGAATGTTAAGGTAAGCCTGCAATTGTGTTTTTGTTTTCTAGATAAGAATCTTTATAGTTAAAAAGGGTCTTTTGGGGTGAATATTTTTAGTATATTAGTGAGCAGGAGATGTAAGAGGATTGTGGGAAAAGCCTACCACAATCATAAAGTAAATAAACAAGAAAAGAATTGTGTTTAGAGTCCAGAAAATGTGGTGTTGTAGTCCCATGCTGTTAAATAGGATAGTGCAGCTGTTCTGGAAACTGATAGTAGCTGCTTTGAAACTAAACCCAGGGTATGTAATACAGGCTGTGATTAGCTTAACTCATGTCAGGGGCAATTTGTACGCCTATGCAACTCACCTGGCCACCAGTTAAACTTCATCCGGAGCCCCTCAACTGATAGTACTTTATCCAGGGCATTATTAGGAATTTTAGTATTTACCTGATCATGCAGGGTTTGTTCTGGACATAATGTGGTCCAGATGTCAGACATCATCAGTCTTTAGACCCAGAAGGGAGTTAGTTGGTCACTAGCCCGAATCTTGTGGCAGATTTTTTTTTTCCACAACCCTACTTAACTTTGGACAGCACAGATGGACAGACGAAGGGAACTTCCTTCCCTCCTCCTCACCCCACCCTCCAGAGTCAACTTCCTCCATCCTTCCTGACTAGGAAGATGAACAGGTTCTTCTTTTGTGGACCTTGAGCAGTGGAAAGAAGCCAGGGAAGTGATCACATGACAGATGTTGTCATTAGCTTGTGATGTAAAGCCAGCATTCCCAAGAATTGAGGAAGCTGAGGCAGAGTGAAGTTATCTGGATCCCAGGCCTCAGTATGCCCTTTCCCTTGTTACTTCTGTGATATGATTTGTTTCCTTTTGTCATTAGCTCTTGTTAAAAGAGAATGAGTCCTGGTTCAACAGCAGCTCCTGGGGAACAAAGGACCATTCATTCCCTGCCTTCTCTTGCTTATCTCTCATGCTAATCACTTCACTTGTTTTGTTGTAAGATCTCATACTTAGAGTCTAGAGAATAAAATTTGTTCAAGAGAAAATTTTGAAAGCAAACTTTTAAAAATATACTTACTATTTTATATGTACGGGTGTTATGCCTACATGTATGTCTATGCACCACATATGTACCTGGTGCTCTAGGAGGCTGGAAGAGGGCATCAGATAACCTAGGCCTGGAGTTACAGATGGTTATGAGCCACCACCTGGGTACTGGGAATCAAGCCCACTTCCTCTGGACAGACAGTCATTGCTTTTAACCTCTGAACCACCTCTCAAGTCCCCAAGAACAAACTTCCGTTTGCCCTTGCACACCTCCCTAGATGTTGACTTCGTTCTCCACCAACAAGCTCTTACTCATTATGACATCCAAGTTCTTCTGTAGATTTTAGTGGCTAATGTCAGAGTTGCCTTTCCCTTTTCAAACTTTATTCTTGTCTAAAATGTGTTGTGGGGATATGTTTTCCCCTTAACCTTGATTTGGGCACTTTTACTGCTACATCCTCCTCAAGGAGCACCCCTCTGTCAGCTGTGCTTTCCCTCTTGGAGGCTGGCAGAGGACAGTGGAGCAGCCGGCACACAAAGCTGTGCATGCCTACAGACTGTGGTGATTTTGTAGCATCCTGGCCATTTTATACCCATGAACTAGAAATTCAGGGTGTGCACCAGGTATCCATTCTTGATTTCTTCTCTCTGGAGAGAATGAAGGAGATCTTTTCAAGAGGCATTTTCTCAGAGAGAGATCATTACCACCCAGATGCCACTGTTTAAATTTAAATATCTAGACTAGGCATTTCTGTGAAGAATGCCCACCATTCTCCCCAGTACCCAGAGCTCAGCGCAGTTCCAAGTTTTAGCCCTACCCTCATTGGCCTTCAGCCATTGGATTATTCCTGATTGTTCCATTTAATACTATTTCCAAGTTGCTGAGGGTGGATTCCTCAAGGATCTCAATGAAGGCTCCAAGTTGATGAAATAGGCTGGACCCAGGGACTGTGCTACTCATGCTCTCAGTGTCCTGTGCAGAAATACTTAGGGAAGAAATGAGTGCTGAAGATACCAGCCTGGTCTACAAGAGCTAGTTCCAGGACAGCCTCCAAAGCCACAGGGAAACCCTGTCTCGAAAAACCAAAAAAATAAAAAATAAAAAAGATGTCCATTAAAAGAGGCTTTCTCACCGGGCGGTGGTGGCACTCGCCTTTAATCCCAGCACTCAGGAGGCAGAGGCAGGTGGTTCTTTGTGAGTTCAAGACCAGCCTGGTCTACAAGAGGTAGTTCCAGGACAGCCTCCAAAAGCCACAGAGAAACCCTGCCTCAAAACGCTCCCCCACCCAAAAAGAGGCTTTCTTTCCTGAGCTGTCCTATAGCTCAGGTGTGTGTATGCAGACATATGCTCCTGTAATAGGCATATTTAATTCCTGGATCTTTATTTGTTCCTAGTGAGATGGAGACAGATGTTACCTCTCTTCTTTTTGTGGCTGTCATAAACATTATAGAGTTAGCCCAGGTCTCTGTAATTATCATAGAGCATAATCTAGAGCCACTGTCCAGATTCCAATGAAACTGGCAGGGAACACACCAGTGCTATGTTTAATTTCAGGTGTGCAGTCGACCAGAGAGCTTTGGAGACAGCCGGGAGAAGGTTGTAGCATTTGGCTTTGATTACTGCTATTGGTCAGTCAACCCGGAGGACCCTCAATACGCATCTCAGGAAGTGGTAATGTCATTTTCCCTCCATTCTTCTGTTTACAAATGTTTTCTGTAAATTTACTTTTCGAGGTCATTATGGCAGTTGCAGACTAGAAGTACTCTAATCAGTAACTTAAACTTTGAGAAAATCTCAATGAAAACTTACTTTCAAGAGGAAAACACCAATAGATTGTGGAATGTTTAAAGTTATTTCCATGATAACATTGTCTCCTCAGTTTTTATAACTGGATACTTAGGTAAATTAGCATGGAATCTGGGTGATGACTTTTTTATGGTATATTGGTTATTTTCATCTGAGAAATGGTAGTGAGTGCATCAGGTTTTCTTTTAAATGTTGAAAAGAGGTGGGAAAAGGCTGTGTGGCACGGGAGCTTGGATAGTGTCGTTTCCATTTGGGCCTCCGTGTGATTCAGGTGTGGATTAGTGCAGATGGTCTTCTGCTATTGTAATAGGTCAATGTCTTAGGGTTTTCATTGCTGTGAAGAGACACCATGACTATAGCAACTCTTGTAGATAAAAGCATTTAATTGAGGCAGCTTGCTTACAGTTTCAGATGTTCAGTCCATTAGCATCAGGATGGGGAGCATGGCAGCATGCAGGAAGATAGGTGTGGTGCTGAAGCTGAGAGTCCTACATCTTGACTCAGAGGCAACAGGAAGTCACTGAATAAAGCTTGAAAAAAAGACCTCAAAGCTTGCCCCCAGTGACACACTTCCTCCAACAAGACCACACCTCTCTCTTTGGAGGCCATTTTCCTTCAAACCACCACAGTCAGTAAGGCTCACCCCAAACATGGTCTTGAATTGTATACAGCAGAAGGACTGAGGAATCCTAAAGCCTCATTTCTTCTTAGGATCTTACATGTGTACTTACCCTCCTACACAGAATGTGAATGGGATAGGCAGCTAGTCCACCAGGCTATAAGAGTGTGTAAAAGGTGAACACCAAAGATCTGCTGGCTAAGGGTGAAGAGGACTAAGGTTTTGCTGACTGAAGGTGTTGCTGGTCATCTTCCCCATGCCTTGTAGTTTTGTTTAGCTCTTCATCAAGTTGCCAAGGCATCTAGAGGTCTAGCCAGTACATCTTTAGGGCATTTTTGTTTCTGGTAAGCGGTAGCATTGTATTGTATCAGTTGAGCACCGAAGAAGGTTATGCTTTCCATCTTCATAATTGCAGCAAACCTTGCTAGACCATAGAAAATCATCCTCATGCTGGCAGTTGTTAGGTTACTTTGTGACGGTCTCACCCTAAAATTGAGAGAGAAAATCTGTGAATATAAGTTACCTTTTTCAGATTTATAGAATGATACATAGGACATTATTTTTATTCTTAATTATTTATATATGTGTGTCTCAGAGTATGGGTTTGTGCACATGAGTGCAGTACCCCTAAAGGCCAGGACAGGGTGTCAGAGCCTCTGGAGCTGGAGTTACAGGCAGTTGTGAGCCACTGGACATAGATGCTGGGAACCAAACTCAAGTCCTCTGCAAGAGCAGTATGTATTCTTAACCATCTTCCCAAACCCATGTCTCTTTACTTTTAATTCTAACATGCAATGTATTAAAGGCATCTGCCTACTGGTATTTGGTTTTTGATTTGTGGTTTTTTGTTGTTGTTTTTTCGAGATAGGGTTTCTCTGTGTAGCTTTGGAGCCTATCCTGGCACTTGCTCTGTAGACCAGGCTGGCTTCGAACTCACAGAGATTCACCTGCCTCTGCTTCCCAAGTGATGGAATTAAAGACATGTGCCACCAACGTCCAGCCTGCCAACTGGTATTTGTAGCATTTCCACTGATGACACTTCCACTGAGATCTTCAAAGATCCAGGAAAGGATCAGCTACATAGAAGATGTATGTTGGTCTTTCCAAAGTTAACAGGAAGTATGCACATTCTAAGAGCTGTTTATGACTACCTAAGAGGTTGGCATACTTGTGTCTGTGGTGTGTGCAATATATGAATTGGATGTTAACAAGGTGTCACCGTTCACAGATAGCTGTTAATAAGATGTCACCATCCATAGATTGCATTCATAGATAATGGTTAATAAGATGTTAGTATTCAGAGATACTTGTTAACAAGGTGTCACCATTCATAGATAGATGTTAACAAGATTTCACTATTTATTGGTATATGTTAACAAGAATGTCATCTCGGAGCTGGGTAGTGGTGGCATACACTTTTAATTCCAAGTGCTGGCACTTGGGAGGCAGAGGCAGGCAGATCTCTGAGTTTGAGTTCAGCCTGGTCTACAGAGTGAGTTCCAGGACAGCCAGAGCTACACAGAGAAGGCCTGTCTTGGAAAAAAAAAATTATGTAGTGCCAGGTGTGATGGGGCACACATTTAATCCTAGCACTTAGGAGGCAGAGGCAGGTGGATCTCTGAAGCAGAATGTTGTATACATAATAAATAAAATCTTAAAAAAAAGTAATTAAAAAAAAAAAAAAAAAAACAAGAACAAGAACAGATGTTAATGTTAGTAATTGGCAGATAGATGTTGTGTGATGATGATTAATTTCAGTTGTCAGTTTGATGAGTTCTAGAATCACCTGGCAGACTCGCCTCTGGGCATGTCTGTAAGGGTTATCTTGACTAAGGTTAAGGTAGGAAGACCCTCTCACTGAGGACAGTACCATTCTGTGGGTTGGGATCTTGCACCAGTGTTCATCATGTCCTGCCTCCTGACTGGATGCAGTATGACCAGCGTCTTTCAGCATCTACTGTCTTTTATTCCCTTCCATAATAGACTGTAACCTGAACTGTAAGCCAAAATAAACTTTCCCCATTCTGTTGCTTTTATCAAGGTATTTAATCATAGCAACAGGAAAAGTAACAAGATGTTAACAAGAATCAGACCTAGGGATGGTGGTACACACCTTTAATCCCAGCATCCAGGAGGCAAAAGCCAAGGATCTATGAATTTGAGGCCAGCATGGTCTACATGGTCAGTTCCAGGCCAGCCAGGGCCACAGGAGACCTTGTCTCAAAGAAGGACAGGGGGTAGGGTGGGGAATAAGATGGTGGGAGAGAAGAGAATGAATCTCTAGTAAATAGGGAATATGACATGATCACACATCTGTTTTTATTCTACAATCCTTTATTCTTGACCCTGCTATTACTAGTTTCCTATTATTTTTTATTTTTTTTAAATTACACTTATTTGTGGAGATGGTGTGTGTGTATGCCACAGCACATGTAAGAAGGAACTTTTAGTAGTCTTTACTCTCCTTTCATCATGTGGGTCCCAGGGATCAAATTCAGGTCTTCAGAGAAAGACCTTTCCTACTGAGCCAGCTCCACAGCCCTAACTTCTCACATTTATTTATTTATTTTGGTTTTTCGAGACAGGACTTTTTCAGTGTGGCCTTGGAGCCTGTCCTGGAACTAGCTCTTGTACACCAGGCTGGTCTCCAACTGACAGAGACTGCCTCTGCCTCTGCCTCTGCCTCTGCCTCTGCCTCCTGAGTGCTGGGATTAAAGGTGTGCACCACCACCTCCTGGCAGCTAATTTCCCATTCTTAAGTCAGATCTTTGTTTATCAAAATTGTATTTATACCTTTTTAAAAATATTTGGATTTTTAGCCAAAATTTATCTTCAAAATTGATTCATCTGTTTTTCCTAGTGTGAATCTACACTAATGTTAAACCTGTTTCTGCTCTGAAATTAGACCCAGATTTGAATAAAGGCACAGATAATAATTTGCTGTCTTAGTTGGACAAGCTACTTAACCTCTCTGTCCTGTTTTTGCTAGTTACGTGTGTGTGTGTGTGTGTGTGTGTGTGTGTGTGTGTGTGTATTATTACCATTTTGCGGTAGTGTAATTGCTCATCTAGTAGGTAGATAAGTGAATTTTTGTGTGCTGTGACTCAGATCATGAACGACAGGCAGTACAGTACAAAGAAGCAAGTGCTTCTTTGAAGCTGGGTATTCCTCTTGGGGCCAACATGCTCCACTTGGAAAACTCAGCTAACTTCCTCCTGGTGATGAACAACTGTTGGGGTGGGAGTTCTCTGCTCACACACATTGTGTTTGGTCTATTGTATGTTTGTAAAATTTTCCACTAGAAACTTTAGCTCAGTTTTCCTCACCAAGACGGCAGTGGCTGTTTGCAACAAGCCAGCCTGAGTCAACAAAAAGCATGTTCAGGAACAAAAGGCTGCCCTGCCCTTTGCAAAGCAATTGCCTCTACTCTCCTGGGAATCTGCATTTTAAAATAGTTTGTTATTTGGCTAAACACATTACACAAACATTTGTAACTTGTCCAGATTAAAAATTGTGTGGGTGAGATTTTTCTCTCCTCAACCACTGAATCTAAAACTAAAATTAAGGTAGTAAAATGATTGTAGTTGCTGGTGTTTTTCTTTTTCTTTTTTTCTTTTCTGGTTTTCATAGTACACTGAATACCACACCCCACATAACACAGGATATGTCACTGCAAGCCTTTAAAGAGGAGGGAATGGAAAGTAAAGAGTGGGAAGGAAGAGGGAGGAGGAGTTTGAGGGGGGGAGGGAGAGGAAAAGAGATAATAGCTTTCCACCACTTCACTCAGAATGTCAGAAACCTGGAGAGGTTAGGGAGGGGAACCACACAATCTCCAGAACATGACTGTATTCGAGGGACACGGTAAAGAAACCACCAAAATGGCTGCTCCATGATTAGGGGAAGGTTTTTATTGTGGATAAAAGAACATCTAAGCCAGGCGTTGTTGGCGCACACCTTTAATCCCAGCACTTAGGAGACAGAGGCAGGCGGATCTCTGTGAGTTCGAGGCCAGTCTGGTCTACAGAGCGAATTCCGGGACAGCCTCCAAAACAATACAGAGAAACCCTGTCTCAAAAAACCAAAAAAACAAAACAAAACAAAAAAGAGAACATCTAGAGGTATCTGGATGAGTCCAGAGCAGAAAGAAAAAGAGACATATTCAATGTGGCCAGGGCTGTCTTCACGAGAAGGGGGCCAACTGAGGGGGGCAGGGAGCTTGGGGGAAAGGGTGATATCTCCAGCATAG